AGAAGCTTAAAAAGCAGTAAACCCTTGGTTGTCATTTGCAAGAAGAGTTACAAATGATAACTGGGCTTTTATTTGGTGGAGATTCACATCATGGTTCAGTCTGGAGAAAGTTCAGTAGTACTTCTTTCACAGGGGACTAACCAAATCAATATTCATTTAATTTATCTAATGTAACTCCTACTTAAATGCGTAAGACTGGAGGTTAAAGGAATCAAATTTCAGGACATTTACCAAATTCATCCACCTTCAGAACGACTGCAATGGAGAGAGATGATCAGTGCTGAGCCCTGTAGATAGTCCTTAGGGAGTGACTCCAGGATGTGGTAGAAAGTGTGGAGTAAAGTGTAAGGGATGAAGAACCATGGGAATTCAGAGGGAAAAATCCTTATGCGGGTAAGAAAACTGAAAAGATTTCTTAGGGGAGCTGGAGGAGAAAGTGTGAGGCTGGGAGATGATCCACTGGAGGGGAACAGGGGAAGTCCGGAAGCCAGGAAGCAAAGGCATAAAAGCTGAGGACATTGCAGAGGAGGTAGGTTAGTATAAAGTTGGACAAAGCAGGGAGAGATAATGCCTGAAGCCAGGCAGTGAAAGAGCACAGCACTGTTAAGAAAGAGTATTTTCTAAGCAAAAACAAACCCCTACTTTATCTCTATATAACTTTAGGGTGTCACATATCAGATAAAAACCAGAGTGCTTATCGCAGGGTCTCAACAGCACTGGCGACACACACAGGGTTTCCCTGCCAAGGCTTCAATGCTGCCGATTACCATCATCAGGTCTATGAAGTCCTTCAACAATGACAACTTGTGTGCTACAAAGCAGCTTTCCCCACAGACCAGGAAATCTCTCCGAAGCGAGACTGTAAGCTCTGCAGAACACTGTCCCAACAGTGCTCCTTGCTTGGCTGGCAACCTACACCACAGAGACAGTCACCTCCCTCTTCTAATGGGGCTGGTGCATCTCAGCTTCAGAAGTACACCCAATGCTTGTGCAGGAAGACAGCAAGCCCATTCAAAAGCAATGAGTCAACTGAAACCAAATACTCCTACTAAGGAATTTCCCACCGACTAGTCATTTTGGTGCTCCAAAGAGACAAATATAAAATTTTCAATGCCTTTAAACATTTAGGTATAAGGTTGGAAACTCCCAGAATATCTTAACTTTTTACCTTTTAAATTTTGAACATGAAACAATTAATGGCAATTATCTCTGGGTAGATGGAATTGTGAGTATTACTCTTCTTTATTGGCTAATTTGCATTTTCTGATTTTTCTAAACTTTTTTATTAAAAAATTAAATTTATATGAAACTGAGAAACATTTCAGATTATTTTTCCTTATCTCACATTTATGGTGTCAAGGTTCACAGAACTATAGTGGGGAACAAGAGACGGGATTTTGCCTTGTAGATGTTGAGCTGTATCTGTTCTGCTTAGTTGGAAACAACATCATGCTTTTTATTTTTGCAAAAATTATTATAAAATGAATATTTTGTTATGGCTTGTGTTCAGATATAACCTGCCTGCCCCAAAAGCTTCGTGCAGTCATAGCTGGCGCTTTTCCATAGGTGACTGGATCTTGAGCGTGTGATGCTGTAACTGAATGGTACGATTCTAGGTCAAGGGCAGGGCACTAAGAATAAGAATGTACGTGCTGCCTGCCCTGAATAGCCTGGATAAAACATGAGGTGCAGAAAGACATTGTTAAGGTTCCTTGCTTGTTTGCTTTTGCTGTCTTGTGCTTGCCGGGAACTGGTTCTCCTCTGTGATGCCCCTCTGCCAAGCCGTCTTGCCCTGGAGACAGCCAATGACAGACCAAAGTCTCTGTAAACTGTGAGCTAAATAAACCGGTCCCTATTTAATTATTTCATCCCATCAACTAGAGAGAAGTTAAGACGTGCTTTCACTGGCCAGCTCCGCCACTAGGCTTTTCTGCTTCCTGCTGCCTCACCCACACTTTTGCATAGTTTTACTGCTTGTGAATATGGCACACTGATGCCAAGTCACCTGTTAGAGAACTTCCTCTGCCACTAGCCCCCAACGTCCTTCCTATAATCATCATCCTTTATCCCTCAGTATTCTTTACTAAGAATAACACATCCACTTTCTTTAAAAAGCTATGTTTTCTATCCTTCTCACTATGAGACACACTGGAAGACAGCAAGAACTCTATCTTAAATGTGTGATATGTGTGACCTAGGGTGACAGGAATGTAAAGAATGGATGGATCAACCCTTCTGAACTGCATAAATGTGGGTGGGTAGGTATAGCTGCTCTACGGTCCACCAGGACGTGACAGAATATATGGACTGTTACCTTTCAAAAAGCCAAAAACTTAATTCTGAAGGACATCTGTCCCCAGTGGTCCTGGTAAGATGCTGTGGGCCTGAGTCTCTTTGCAGGATTTCTTTTACTTTGTGACATTGGAGATTAAACCCAGGGTCTTGTATGCTGGGCAAGTGCTCCACTACTGAGTTACATTCCACCCCTGGCTCTTAAAATTTTAGATATGGTCTTACAAAGGTGTCTTAAACTGGGCCAGGGAGATGGCTCAGTAGAGTAAGTGCTTCCTTGGCAAGCACACGGGCCTGAGTTCAATTCCTGGTTCCAAAAAAAAAAAAAAAAAAAAAAAAAAAGCCTTAAACTTATGATCCTCCTGTTTCAGCTTGACTGACCTCTCATGTGCTTTAGGGGATTCATCTTTATGATCAGACATTTTAGTACATCTAACTTAATACTAACCATTTGGAAAAGGCAAAGCTGGATGAAAATGAGTCGAGAATAAAATAGAAAAAAAGGCAAAATATATAGTATACTTAAAAGCTGCAAATAATGCAACACAGGACCTTGGATCCTGACTAGTAATAGAAACTTCACCTTTAGTGGCCACATTGATGAGATTACAACTATGAAAGGCTATATTACTATCTCTATTGAGAATTGAGACTTACTATTCTTACAACACATGTGTGTTAAGTGTCCTTCTGGTAACAGGGACTGAGGTTACAGTAATGATGGAGCACACATTTCAGGAGCCTCTAGGCTGACCTGAATGTTAACTTCCTTCTTTAGATTTTGTCACCTTTGTCTCTTTGTAACTCATAGATACTTTAGGATTCTTCTATCACTTCTTCTTTAATGTATACCTTCTTTTTAAGTACTCTTAAAACATTTCAGATCCAGATGGAGGGAAATAAATGAAGATTAATTAAAATGATCAATTAAAATATAAATTCTAGTCCTTATAGATACAAAAGGTCAGTTTTGTGTAATAAAATGTCACAGAATGTTGCCACCCACTCATTGGAGTGGGTAAACACTGTTATTTAATATGGAATCATTCTCTGCCTCCTTTATTAAAAAAAATGTATTTAGTACAGGGTCCCATTACACAGATCAGACTCATAGTGATTCTCCTGTTTTCAGCCTCCCAAGCACTGGGATTACAGGTGTGCACCACCACGCCCAGTCTCAATCACCATCTCAGTGTGCCTTGGGGGCGGGGCTGGCAGAGCACACTGGGAAGTAAATCCCAGTTTCTGTGTCTGCCTAAGCAGGCACTTCAGTCAGCTGACCTATCTGGCTGGCCCCTCTGCTCTCTCTTTACTGCCTATATTTTAGAATTAAAAATGGATAAGTAAATGCACATCATTGCAGCCAAGAGACACGTGATTTCCCCATGATCTCCTGACCATCCACAACAAATATAGGAGATAGCCAGTGTTACATCACACTACTGCTAAGCTCATATGAATAGTGGAATTTTGCCTTTCCCATTTCTGATGGAAGGGATGGTCAAAAATATGAGGAGCACATACAAATGATGAGGAAAAGAATTTGTGTGGTAGGATAAATCCAATGCTCCAAAGGAATTTGCTAATTTTCTTAAAATGGTGCTAAGTCAAAGAAAAGGAATATAGGGACATCCATATGAAAAATGTATAAAACCTTTTTGTAGCTACAATTTCTGCCATAGTCTCCTAAGAATCTGGTTACAACATGTGTAATGTGGGAACAGATAAGATTCCCCCAACATCAATAGGGATTGAATCTTGTGCTTCTGCAACTTTGCCACCCTTTTAAAACTTTTTTTGGGATAGGATCTCCTTAGTTTCCCAAGATGGTCTCAAACTTGAGATGCTCCTGTGTTAGCTTCTCACCCCCCTGTCAAGCAACACAAGCTTTTCCAGGCTCACCCAGGCTGTGAATGGGAGAGACTGTGAATGGGAGAGGCGGTGGTGGACTTGAGGGCAGGTAGCTCCTGGCAGCTAACTAGTCACCCTGCTAGCAGGTTTGAGTTCCTGTTCTGTTAGTGTTCTCCTGGAGCAGACTGGCTCGGCCCAGGCTGCCAAGTGCTGGAAAGAGCTCCCTGAAGCACTCGAGGAGCGTGTTCCTACTTTCTCCCATCTTTCCAGCAATCCCAATGACTGGTATAGAACAATCCCCATAGATTGATGTATCTTATGTTCAAAGATAAAAAAGAAAGGACATAGTAAAGATGTCAAGAAGACAAAAAAACTCCAAAAATGTTTTGCTACTGTTGTATTTCTAGAGCTCCCCCACTTACACCTATAGCACGAAAGTATAGCTTTGCCATTACTGAACTCTTATTCCAACAGCAACTTCCCAAGCCTACTTATCATAATCAAACTCTTCCTACAGCAATTACTGTCTACATGCATGAGATTAAGTAAATGTTTTTTCTGGTATCTAATTTTTAAGAAGTCTGACAGCAGACATCTGGGCAAAGTGCTACTCGTGTTACAAAAGTTAAAACATTCCAGGACAGAGTGTTATGAGTGCCAGACATGAATTATGAATACAAATAGTCTCCAATTAAGAAAAGAAAAAGAAACAAGTGTGTACCAGTCACATGCACTGAATTAAAAGATGTAGTTCTAGGTATCAGCCAAGGAAAGCAGTGTTGAGCAAGTCTGTGTTGCAGACCTCTCATTTAAAGTTACTCTCAAAGCAGGCCCTGGCTGGTTTCTGTGAAACTCACCTGCAAGCAAATTGCCAGGTTCACTCTGCAGCCAAAGGAGGTGCTGACTGCCCTTGGGTGGAGGCCCAGGTCTTTGAACAGTTTGGAGAAGGACTGCGTGAGCGCAATTCGAGGCCGTTCTTCTGCTACCACCACACAGGTCCTTACTCTTGACAAGTCCAGTCCTCGTGCCTAGAAATAAGAACAGTGACACTAGTCCAGTCTTTGAAGTGCTCAGCTATGTGGAAGCTGGACAACCCTTCACTCGAAATCCCACAGGGCAGCAGGTCACTCAACACAGCTCTTTATTCCATGGTACACGCGTTATTAATCACTCCATACTACTGTTCAAAAGATTCACACAGACATTGTAAACATTAATGAAGTCCTTGAAACATATTTTAAACAACAGCAAGAATCAACATCAAAAAGAATTATGAGGAAGAGGGTGGAGAAAAACCAGTTTCTGGCTCAGAAACTCAGGGTCTGGGAAGAAGAAGCCTTTCTGTGCACTGCCATGAGCATGAACTAATGAGTGCACATTGCACTAAAAGTGACAACTCTAAATGTCTGTAAGACTGCAACAATGGTGGGCATGGTGGCCCACATCTATAATCCCAGCACTCAGAGGCTGAGGCAGGGAGTTGGCCATGAGTTCGAGGCCAGTCTGGGCTACAAAGTAAGTTCAAAGCCAGCCTGAATGCAACACTAAGATGTTCTGAAACCATCATAATGAGACCTTTCCACTATGTTCCATGAGACCTATGAGATCAGATAAATTCTCATCAACCACATCTCAGTTTCTGTGGTAAGCACATTATTAAGTACATCTCAGTTTCTATATTACCCTGAGCCAGTTGAGTAAACCAGAAAAAAAATCACAGGATGAGGAATTCAACGATTTGAGCATGAAACGCTCATTGATACAAGCTGGCAAGACTTGGGCCATGCTGAGAAGGATGTCAGCGATATCACTGAAGGTGAGAGCGTGCAGTGCTAATGTTGTCTTATAGTGGGAACCAGAGCTGGGCAAACCAAACCATTTGGTCCCTCAAACTTCCCTAAATGCTCTCAGCAGAGAGATAATTGACAAGGAGCCCTGGATGGGAAACAAATAATTCAATATTTTTTCAGGACTTGGGATTGAACCAAGGTTTTACGCCCATAATTAGATATACCACTAAGCTGTAGTCTTAGCCTTAAGGTAACTTTAACATTAGAATGTGAGAGATACACACAGAAGAAAATTTAAATCTAGATGATACCAACTACATGTTTATGTATATAAATATTTGAGAAGCACAGCATGGGGCTTGCAATGCTGAGGTTGGAAGAAGAGTCAAACTCTGGTTCTACATTTATCATGTGTAGAAACAGAGGAAGATTACCCAGTTTCCCTGAACTCAAGTTGCTCATGGTTCCTACTTGAGAGCCATGGTGGATTACATAAATATGCAAACTGCTTGGTAATCATTCAATTGTGACCTTATTCTACTTCAGTTACTTATAAGTGTACCAGCAGGAATAGTCCATAAAAAAGATACTTCCTCACTCTACGTCACTAGATAGACATATTCTGCTTTGTCATTTTTCCATACATAAGTACATAACTTTAAATAATTACATATTTATGTAACTTAATATCAAAGTTATACTTTGCTTTTCTGTTCAAGCCTAATGCATTAGGTGAGAATAGGAAAATTAAATGCAAATATGATCAATGTACTGCTTTAATATTTATATGTATATAATTCATACACACAACATAAAAAAATCTGTAAAGATACACATGCATATACCCTGCACATACAGTAGTTGGAATATAATTGAAACAAGTCATATGATTACTTCCTCCCAGTTACCTACAATTAAAGGCATATAATTTACTATGAAAATATTTATTATATTTAAATGGAGGGAAACACTTTTCTTATGTAATGGTGACCAAGTATATCATATGAAAACCCACAGTTTACTGGGTTGTGCAATGAATGTCCAGATTTCCAAATGAAGGTCCCCAGGACAACCAAAATTAGTGGCTCCCTTTTCATTGTCCTAAACAATCAATATCAGATAAACTTTACCAGAAAATTCACTAAACAAAAAGCTAATTTATGATCTTTCAAGTAGAACTAGTTGAATTTAAAACATTAATAAAACGTTTTACACTCTTGTTTACTGCTCTTCATGGCAGTAGGAAACTACACATGGTTAAAAGTTGGTTTTTGTACCTGAAAACAATTTGCAAGCCTCAGGTGGCACACCTAACCTTGGCTCTTTGGTAGGTTGGTTGTGAGCACATCCGTCAATGGAGGCCTGGGGTGAGGGGGCAGGGCAAGGGACTGCTTACCTTGAGGGATTCTGTCTGTGAGCCAAGACCCTTTGTACACAGCTCCATCACCGAGTAAGAGCAGAACGTGTCCCGGACTTTGTACTGGCTCACAGCAAGCAGCCACAAGGCCGGGTTGGTCTCCAGCTCGGAGGGTGGGATCAAGATGGACTGGTGCCCAGAGTACACGCTGCAGAGACAGGACAGGCCATCAGGGTACAGGCTTAGCAAGGTGGGGTGAGAGGCAGGGAGGGACACATTCATCTCTGACAAACGTGGCTTCCATCAAACTCTTTCTGGCATTTGTAAGACAGGGACAGTAAAACCAACTCTATAAGAGGAAATCATGCTTTTGAAGATATTGCCAAGAAGCATATAAGGGACACAGGAATGATATTATAGTCACTGATATATTCTGTGCTCATTTAAAACATCTAAGAGCTGTGACACTGTTAGATTTTTCTCGAGGTAACTATATCAACCAGATCCCCTTTCACAGGGCAGACACAGGTGCCACATTTTGACAGAAAGACCAAAAGTTCAGAACAGATGTTGTGAGCCATAGCTGTTGCTTAATTTTATAAGTAAAGGCTTGTTCGGGAGATGAACAGCATTACACATTCATTTAAACAACGTCTACAGTAGCCTTGAGCTGAGGGGTTGGCAGAGACCACAGACTCTAAAATTTTATTAAATGTGAATATAAGAAAAAGTGGGCTATTCTGGTGAAGAAAACCACACGGAGGTTAAAAGGAAGAAAATTATGGCCATTAAAGGAAGTCAATCAATCTTTTAAAATTTTGATGCGTACTTTAAAATGGTTCAAAGTAAAAAAAAAAAAAAAAAATTCAAAGTAATCACCAAACAGAAAAACTAAAGAAAATATACTTATATTTATCTTCATGTTAGAGAAAATATTTAAAGCAAAGAGGAAAATGATAGATTGCATATTTTAATTTACCATAAATTGATGGTGTAATTGTATATTAAAAAATAAAGTACTCACCAAAAAAAATCTGTTTTAATGGCCCTATTTATTGGTTGCTTACTATGAATTAACACTAATATATAACACACATTATACTAAAATATCGCTGATAAATCAGCTCATCATATTTAAATGAAAGATTTCATAGCTATATAAAAGCTCATAAATGAAATTGCACAGCAATTCAATTTATTATTAAAGCTATTTCTTTAATGTGGTCAATCTTATTTCAAAAATTTCAGGACTATTTGCAAAGAAGCCAACTGGTTAAAAAAAAAAAAAAAGTAAGGAAATAAAGCTGTCCCACGAAGTGTGCTTTAAACAAAACCCTTTCTATGAAGATTTGTTCTTCAGTTAGTAAGACAAACGGTATTGGGGGATAGGTTTCCATTTTTTTCTGTATTTCTCTATTCCAAAGTTTCATTTATTTTTGTTAAAAAGAAATACAGCTAACACTAATCTTTGCTGTAGCCTTTTTAAAGGTTTAGTCAGTTATGACCTGGGAGGCTAGGCTCATCAGAGGAGAAGTGTCAGCCCTCAAATTATTATTCTGCATCAAGATACTATTTTTGTCTTTATTTTGAAACTTCTGTTATGGTATAGCATATAAACTCCCACATTTTAACCACTGCTAAGGTATACTTCAGGGGCATCAATGATATCCACAATCATCTACAACCATGAATACCATTTCCAAAACTACTTTACCAAAGACTGAAACTGCATCAATTAAGCAAAAATTTCTCATTCTTTTCTCCCCCAACCCCTGGTGGTCTGTATTTTAGTTTCACTGTCTATGAATTTGCCTGTTCCAGATAGTTCATGTGAGTGGAAGTGTACATTTGTCTTTCTCTGTATGGCTTATTTCACTTGGCATACTTTAAGGTTTATCCGCACTGCAGCACACCTCAATCTCCTGCAGTTTTATGGATAAACCTGATAAGACTGTGGCTTCCACCTTTTGGCTACAGTGATTAATGTGACAGTGGAAATTGTTGTACCAATATCTTGTTTGAGTTTCATTTCTGTTTCACATATACCTAGGAATACAACTTCTGAGTCACGTCATAATTTTCTGTTTCACTTTTTATGGAATTATTAAACTATTTTCCACAGAATTTTACATCTGTACTAGTGATGTACAAGGATTCCAATTTGTTGTAGACAGTCTCACCAACACATGCTATATTTTTCATTCATTTAACATTATAACTGTTGAGGAGGTTGAAACAGGAGGATCACTCTGAGTTAGAGATATCCCGGGGCTACAAAAAGTAAGCACAGGGCCAGCTCGAACTACAGTGAGACTCTGTCTCAAAAAAACAAAACAAAACAAAATAAAATAATATATATATACACACACACACACACACACACACACACACACACACACAATCAAATAGTACTGTGCTTTTGATTTGCTTTCTCTAAGGAAACATATACATTTTTTTAAATCACTATATCCCAATCAGTAAAATCCCATCATCATAACACAATTCTGTCAAGTGCCCACTAAGATTTGTCCTTCGGAGATTAACTTGGGCTATTCAACATAACTTTATGTTAAGGTTCTTCATTAGAAATTAAAACAGCAGCACACAAATGCATCGGCATAGCAAAGTACACTTAAGTAGACTTGCACATTAAAAACCCTACATTATTATGAGTAACTTTCTATTGAACAAAATCTCTGCATAAGTTTAGCCTTGCTCTTGGCATCTGTGAGAAGGAACTTTTTAGCCAGAGCTGAGGTTCTCTGTACTGTCTACTGTCATTTGTTTTCTCATTTTTGAAGCATACCTTATTATTCTCCAAATAGCCTTCTAAGATACACAGTGTGAATCTAAATACAGACTACACATCTTAGCTCCAGAAACACACCTAGGGGACCAAGCTATGTCTCTTCTGCATGAGACCTGTGCACTATCCCTAGACACCTGCTGTCTCCGTTTCAGGGACAACCACTGTAATACAGATGGACTGTCACTCTCCAACCGTGAGACCTTACATAAGCAACCTCACCCCAGTGATCCTCCGCATGTGGGCGGCCTCACATAATACCCACAGGGAGGACACGCCCCCTTGGGCCGCTACTGCTAGTTTTGTTTTGCCACTTATAGGTCACCACTTTTCAGTCTTGGTTTCTGCCACTTGTATAGTACCCCAGAATCCACCTAAAAACTAGATGACTTTGAATTAAATCCCTCCTTATTAGTTAATGTGCCAGCTCTAATTAGAAGCCTCAAGGCAGCATTAAGCAGGAAGAAACGAAAATAAATGGAAAATTTACTTCTGCTAGATGGATATTAAACGAACAATCTCAGGGCCCAAAATAGTGTCATATGACCAGGTAACAGCCTACAATCTAACGAGACTGCACATTATACAACGTATAAATCATAATTATCCACCAGGAAACATTATGTGTCTTTCCACTCAGGGAAGCAAAAGAACACAGTGTTTCTATTAACATCAAATGTTATTCAACCTATTCATGAATAAGGGTTAATAATACTACCCCAATTAGATTTTCTTATAGGCTTTTTATTGCAACTAAATTTAAGTTGCTACTCTTTCACACTAAAGGCTTACATTTTCAATGCCAGGTACCAACACTCTTAAGAACATCTGAGCTCTGTATCTTACGGAATAAAAACAGGTACAAACTTACAATGATTTTCCTCTTAATGTTGACAATGTGTCATTTCCATATTGTTCCCAGGATTTTACTTAATAAATGCTACCACAGGGAGATCCAAAATAAAGAAAATGAAATCCAAATATCACATTACTAGCTTTAACAAGAATATATATCAAGATCAATGATTTGCTTCATCAAAACTGCTAGGGGTTGGGTCTGAGATGTGAATTCCAGGCTAGAGAATTTCAGCATGGTTGCGCAAAGTAAATAGTTTCAACTCTTTCCTTATTCATAATGAAGTCAAAAGTAAGAAAATATTGGTAATAGGAGATACAGAGAAGACTTGACTTGTGAATTTTCCACTTGCTTTTACCTTTATCATTCATAGTTGATCTCACAGTCAACCCTAGCCCCAGCCAATCATTATTATACCTTTTGTCTCTATAAACAATCCACATAATTAAACATTTGTCTCTACAGTGAGGCCTGGATGTAAAACAACAGGTCTCCAAAATCAGTGTAGGCCTCATATATGGGTGCAAGGAGAGGAAGCCTACAAGATCGGTCACTTTGGTTTATTTTCTGGGTAAATTTTTGCCTTTCTCTATTTTCCTTTTCTGTATATTTCATATAATCACATAGAATGTGTTTTTTTGCTCTGGTTTCTTTCACTTAGTATAAGGCATTTCAAGGTCACTCATTTTGTAGCAGTATCCTATTATAAAGAGATGATAAATATTTATCTATTCACCTGTCGGTAGGCATCTGACTAAAGTGCTTGTGAACAATTGTATCAAGTCTTTATGCACATATATGGCTTCCTAGCTCAAGTGGAATGCCCTGGAGGAGAATTGCTAGGTCACACAGTATGTTTATATTTCAGTTATGCAAAACAGTGGTGGTTTATATTTATATTTGCATTTATATTCCTATCAACAATGCATAAGATGTCTAGTTTTTCCTCATTTTTGGTTACTGTTACTTTGTAGTGTAAGTCTAAAGTCAGAAAAAGTAAGTTCTAAACTTTGTTTTCTTCTATCTTTTGATTATCTTCTATCTATTATCACTTCTATGGTAGTGGGTGTGAAGTGTATCTCATTGTGGTTTGACTCTGTATTTTCTTAATTAATGCCAAACATCTTTTCATGTACTTACTGGCCATTCTGCATGTGCTCTTTTGGTGAGGCATACAGTACACCAAAGTTTCTACACATTTAAATTTTAGAAGTTCACTAAAGAACTGGATAACATACTTCACTAGATACATGATTTGCAAATATATTTTCCAGAAGAAAGCTTTTAAGCATGTCTTTTTTTTTTTTTTTCCAGAACCGGGGATTGAACTCAGGCCCTTGCGCTTGCCAGGGAAGCGCTTATTCCACTGAGCCATCTCCCCGGCCCCTAAGCATTCTGCTATGTTAAAATTTTACAATTCACTGTAGTCCAACTGATCAATATTCCTTTTATGTGTTCAGGATTCAGGTTAGGATACTTAATGGGCTCTCTGGCTGAACTCAAGATTATAAAGATTGAATCGTGTTTTCTTATAAAACTTAAAATTTTTGGTCAATCAGTTAAATCATATATATGATAAAGGTTTAAACTCGCCCATCAGCATGTGAATATTAATTTTCTCACCATCATTAGTTCAGAAGACCATATTTTCCCTATGGAACTGTTTTAGTACCTTTGTCAAAAAAAAAAAAAATCAACTGATCATAAATAGTACATAAGGTTTCAGTTCTGGCCTATCATTTCATTTTCACTGGTATCTAGCTACTAGCTAGCAGCTGAATCAGCCTATCTGTTATGTTAATACCACAATGACTTAGTTACCTTAACTTTGTAATAATTTTTAAATCAGGAAGTCATAGTGAGTTCTATAACTCTGATTCTATTTCAAAATTGGTCTGGCTACTAGAAGGCCTTTGTATTCCTTCAAGGATCATCTTGCCAACTTCTGCAAAAAGGCCTGCTGAGATTTTAACAGGGATTACACTGGATCTAGAGACCAACTGGGGGGAACTAATATTTTAATACTGAATCTCCTAATCTATGAATATAGACTATCTAACACACTTTGGAAAACATGTATGATCTTAGGAAATATTTTGCGATGATTCCATTATATCAATGACTCATATAAACAATTATTCATTACTGAAGGTAGCTTTAGTGTGAAGACATAGTTTGTATTGCTTTTTTTACATTCACAAAGTTACGGAAGAGTTCCAACTATTGTGAAAATAACTGTTTTCCTTTCAAAACATTTGATACTAAGTCAACCTAATGCTTCCACAGACCCCAAATACTTTAAAGGGCAGTTCCAAGAAACAAGCATATTTTCCTACAGAAACCAACTAAGCCATCAAAACCCAAAAATTGATACATTTCTTCCATCCAAGCACAAACTCCAATCAGGGTTTGCCAGTTCTCCTGATAATGTCTTGCATAGGAAAAAGACCCAGTTCAGATGTACACATATACTACACTGTAGTGACACCAACATTTATGAAGATTACAAGCTCCCTAATGTGGGCATGTGTCCCTGCAAGCTGGGTGCTTGAGGCCTCGCCCTGGTTAGACCTAGGCAAAGCACCTTGGAGGGCATGAGTGATGCCATTTTCCTCTCCGGCCTATTTGCTGGTATAGGACACCACTGGTGAGATTCACTCTGACCTCAGTTTAGGCTTCTCTACTGTGAGGTTTCTCTTTTCCTTTCATCATTAATAACTATTTTGTGGATGCTTTAAATCCTTTTTCTTCATGAAGCTTTCAATTTACTCATTATTTATAACTGAACAGTTGGATAATTTCTTATTTTATTCAAAATGTTGCAATCACTGCAATCTTTATTTTGATCATAATTTATCCCCAATTTGTCCCAGAAAGAAGCCCTTCAAACTAGCTCTTCTGTTCTTTTGCCATGGCCCCATTTTTATGATGAGAAGCAAGATTCTACAGTATCACACTGAATTACAATTCAGCTTCACAGCGTTGATTTATTTTCTGTATTTATGATGACATTTGCCAAAGTGAAGGGATCAGTCTTCCATTGTGCTTAAGATATATACTTATTTTTAAACCTTATGGATGAAGCCAGCCTCTTTCCATTGCAACTCGAGTGGAAAGTTGCAATGGCGCTTACACTTCCTCCCCTCCATAGCTCCAACATGCCATGCCAGCTGCGGTTGCTATTCTGTGTGGACCCTGGCCTCCTCCTGCCCAAGCTGTGGCACCCACATTGGGCTGCTCTGGCATCATATCCCTCCCTGCCCTGGTTACATGCCTCCATGGCCTCAAGAATGACACTTCCTTTTCTTCGCATCCTCACTGTCTCTCCTGGCCCACCCGAAATCCCAGACCTGCTGAATGGCACGGAAGAAGGTGGTTTTGACTATCTTTAACTTTCATACTAATGAGTATACATCTAAGACCCAAGTCCTACCTCTCTCTGTGAATTCTATGGGGCGACAGGCTTGGCTGACTATGGAATCACAATGTTTCCCATTCACTGGCTTTGCCTTTGTTAGTCCTTTCCTACAGATGAAGGGGCCCAGGCTAGGCCTCTGCCTTCCAGCCAGGTCACTACAGATGTCTGTGGCTACTTTGGAATGATGTGTTCTGAGCTATTTCCCAAGGGGAAAAATTACTCACAATGTCATTGCATGGGGAATAAAAGTCAAAAAAACTTTTGAACATTTATTTAGTTCTATTTTGTTTCTTAAAAACTTTAATTGTCCTGATCAGAATGCCAGTGTTTTCCAAAAATACAAGATTCAATTTTTTTTTTAAATTTTATTTATTTATTTGTGTGTGTGTGTGTGTGTGTGTGTGTGTGGCCAGCTCAGCCCACCAGGGGGCGGGGCTGGGTGGCGTGTGGTGCTGGGGGGTCGAACTGTGGTCCCTGTGCTTTGCTAAGTTTGTTCTAAGTAGGTGCTTTAGACCACTGAGCCATTTCACCAGCCCCACAAGATTCAATTTTAACCCACTTTAATATTATACATTATGAAATTGTTATGGCAGAGCAGCGAGGAAACACTCATGAGAGGCCGAGAATATCAGAACAAGTGAGACTCCTTTCCAGCTGGAGGATGACAATCCAACAAGGAGTCAGACAGTGTTGACCCCAAGAGGACTTTGTGCTGGGTTTTCATACATGTACAAGTAACCATGGTAACCACATTACTTCATTTCGGAATTTTACAAAAATGTCACAAGGTTTACATTTCCCAGGGGTTTGCTTATACAGGATGCAGTTGCATTTTATCTTACCTATAATTTGTTTGAACTGTTTATTCCTTATATTAAGATTTGTTCTCCTTTTGGTGGTTTTATGGTTAACTAAGAGAAGAAGTTATCTAAAGTTTAAGTGATTTTGAAGGTGGAATTTTACACAAACTACATAGAGTCTCTCTTGCCATGTCAAGAGCATTAAAAATTACCCTAGAAGAGTATTTCAAGATGTGAGAAAATGTTCACTATAAACTATTAGAATGAAATTATACACAATTTCATTCTACAGCACCTCAGCTTTACAAATACTTTTGTTTATCGTGCCACCCATTCACTCTGCAGATGTCTGCTGAGCACAATATAAATAATACTGATTTATAAAATTATAAGCATAAAGGTTTCTAGTTACAACTGTATTATACTATTTGTATTTACTTTCAGATGTTCCATTAAAAAAAGTACAGAAACAAAACTGGAAAAGTGTTGGGAGATGTAAAGCTAGCTCACAGGTGCTGGTGTTTATTTTAGTATATTTCATATACTTGTATGTACTTAAAATGTAAAAAGCATGCTACATTAGAAAGTAAACTGAACAACTACATAGTACAACGTTACCGGTGGGCTATCAATATCACTATTTACTAGGTGTCTAATTACTGACACCTGTATTTTTTCTGTGTACTTCTACATTTTCTACAGTGAGCATATATGTCCAACCAGAAAAAAATGCCATTAGACAACCATTTGTTTATCGTGCCACCATTCACTCTGTAGATGTCTGCTGAGCACAAGCTACAACCAGTTGCTAGTGAAAAGCAGCAGCCCAGGGCAGAGCTAGGCTCAAGGAGTTCACACTACACTTCCCTAGGAAAGGCCTTCTCTTACACATGACAGGGAGAAAGGAGACCAAGAAAGTGGGGAGCTTGTAAGGCCTACCAATTTAGCAATAATGCCAGCAGGGCAGGCATAATTGCTGCGTTTAAGTGTGTAAGACCCAAACCTTAGAGTCTTCTAGTGGGGAGAAAAAAGGTCTGCAACCTTCTAGAATGCCTAACTGGCTACTGTCTTTGTAGGTTTCTTTTAGACCTCATGCAGCTGTTGTAGAAAGCAGAATGCCACCATGGGTGCTGCTCTGTCCCCAAAAGCTGGTGCTCAAGGGGAGGCACAGGGACAGGGTTTCTGCATTCAGCACAAATCAGGCCCCTTTGGGAGGTCACGGTACTTGTGGCTGCCTGGCAGAGCCAAAGATGTAGAAGGGAAAACATATGGCTCCTTACAGTAAAGTTTATTTTAAGGATAGTAAAGAAGAATCTCACCTGCAGAGGCACCAGAGGACAAATCCAAGTCCACAGTAAGGGTCCAAACAGATGGCCACTTCTCTAGAGGGGTAAAGCTCACACTGCAGCTTAATAGATCGGCAAAAGGCACTGGTGGCTGCGTGAGACATCTGCAAGACAGTAGGTGACAATGAATGTACAGCATGTGACATCCAGAATCCAAAGACACCTGGGGAACAACACGGCTGCACTAATGCATAATATTTAACACTAAGTACCCCAAAGAGGCTTTCTGAACCAGGAACAAGTGCAGCAAACAAGCGCTAAAAGACAGTGGATACCAAGATTCTTAGTCTTCCTCTTTCTAATAAATAACATATTCAAAGCTTCCTGGTCCTTGAAGAGCTAACAGCAGCAAATACAATAATGACATTGGAGCAGCAGGTTATACACACAACGGTGCTTGTGATTCCCAAACAACCTGAAATGCAGGTAGAGAAAGTCTCATGGCTTGTGTCTAGTTTTGTAGTGGAAGCTTTCCAATTCCTGGGACAGTCCAGGCCATCAAAAGGCACTAGCACTGGTGGCCTGTCACAGACATCTCATGAACTCCCATCTTAATATTTAGGAATGAAGTGCAGAAGAGAAAGATTCATTGGATTCACTTAAATGACAGCTGGAACTGGAACCCTGACCTTCTGTGCCAAGCTCAACACATTTCTCACTATATGTCCATTCTCACTCCCAGCCTCAAGGTGACAGTGAAGATCCTTCCTTGTATTCTCCTCTTCCTAATCTAGTAATAGTTGCTCTACAGTAAGTAGTAACTATTTAATAATTCACATTATCTAAAAATTGTTATATAATAACCTGATTTTGCATATAATAAATGCGATGAATATTAGCAAAGGGGCTCTCTGGTGAAATACCTTAAAAAGAAAAAGCAGCATAGAGGAAAAGATGTATCATGTCATGGTTTTAAAACATGCTACAACTTAACGTGAAGTTGACATTAGTAGCATGTTGATAGAGCTAGCCTACAAAAAGGAATAGCACAGAGCACTGTAATAGTGAGGAAAATTCAGCCCACCACCTAGTTTCCCATTCATGTATCACTCCAGGAAAAATGATGGGGAAATGGGTGAGAAACCTTTTATGACAAAAAGTCAGATTCTTATAAGGATTTCTGCCCCATGAGCAGCTTTCACTATGGATATTTCACTGAACTCATACAGGGTCATGAGAATTGCTCTAGGGTATGAAATGTAAGTAGTTCTTATCAACCTTCTTTCAGCCATAGAATTTGTTTAAAGAAGAATTGAGGTGGGTTTTGCAAAACATTCGTCTAATCCCCTGCCTCCCTGGAATGAGAGTAAAATCTTACCCAGAAAATTCCACACATATGCAAGAAAGCAAGCCTACACTACACTGCTGCACTGTGTGAGGCACATTTATAGCTGGAAAATTAAGATCTTCCACTAGCCCAGCGAGTGCTGATTTATATAAGGCACTATGTTAGATGACAAGGATATAGAACAGAATGAGACATGGCCCAACCCTCAGGTGCTGATGCTCTAGTAGTTATTGATAACTACTATGTTACTACTGGTTATACATAACTACAATGATGACATTGTAGTTATCAATTACAAGATCTGCCAGTGCACTGACAAATGTGTACAGAGTGTAATGAGTTGGGAGAGAAATAAAACATTTATGTCACCCTGTCCAGAGGAGAGTAGAAGGAGGATCACAGAGCTGCTGGGTCTCCAGGATGACTTCAATATAGTAAGAAAGTAAGCAGGTAAAAAATGAAAGCAACTAAACAAAGTGGAATGTTCAGTCTCTAAAGCAATCCCAATCTTGGACCCAACATCATAGACCAGAGAGTCCAACTTGAGACACTTTTCTAGGACCTAAGGTAGAAAAACTCAATTCCTACTAAGACAAACTCAGATTCGGATAGAGAATTAGTTTTCTAAAACCAAAACAATAAACTCTAATACCTGACTCTGCGAGAGATTCTGAGAATAGCTATATCACTGTGAGAATCCAGGGACAAGTCAGCCCAAATTGAACTTAAGTTCTGGGATGCATTGTGTGATTTATCTGGGACAGATTAGGCTTCCAGGGCAGAATTGCTTTGGATGATATTAAAAATACATGCCCAGTCTCTGAGCACACATCAACTGAGAAGGCAGTGTAGGTTTCCTGGAGTATGCGTGGAGGTTAGGGAAAGCCACCAGAGTTCTAAAATACCCTTTAAGGAAATCCATAAGGTGGCTAAAATGATTAATCATAAGGTGACTACTAAGCTTAATAAATGGAAACATGGGTTCTTTATCTTATCTCCTTATTAATAATAAATAACTATGTATCTAAGATTTAATAGGAGCCTTCAAAGTTCAAGGCCACTTTTTTTTTTTTAATTTTAATGTATTTGGTACAGGCTCTCACTACACAGCTCGGATTCATGGTGATCCTCGTGTTTTCAGTCTCTCCAGTGCTGGAATTACAGTTGTGTGCCACCAAGCCCATGGCTCAGCCTGCCTAGAGCAGGGCTGGCATGGCACATGGTACCAGGGATTGAACCCAGATCCTTGGGCTTTTCTCGGCAGGTGCTTAGACTGCTGAACCATCTCCATGGCCCAAGGCCATATTTTTAAATAGGTAAAAATCAGAAAACTTAAACATATACTTGGTAGTATGTGAAACTTGACATTTTGTAGTGTCCAATAAAGAGAAAAGGTTGTCTCTCCCAACTTGTATGATATGTAATTAAAAATGAAATTAAACGGGCTGGGGAAATGGCTCAGTGGAATAAGTGCTTCCCTGGCAAACACAAGGGTCTGAGTTCAATCCCCAGTTCTGCCAAAAAAAAAATTAAATAATATTAAATAAAAAAATTTCCAAGAAAAATGGCTACCTCTACAACCCGTGAGACCAGAGAGCTAAGAGGGACTCCACCCAGAGCAGACTACTTGCTATACAATTCAAACTCTAGTCTGTGGTGCTCTGTATTTAAAGCACAAAGGTTTTTCACTAAGTTACTTCACTTCAGGTATTCATCAAATTAAATGGCCAAAGGCTTAAGAAAATGTTTCATAAGTTTGAGAGAAAGTCTTACTCATCTCAGTCAATTTTCTAGGGTGTAGATGAAGTGGAATCATCAGGAAGTAATAAACATAGATCACATTATCTTTGTTTCCTGTAAAAACATCTCTACTGAATCAGTTTTAATATTATAGCTCCTGCTTCTATATACCATGAAAATGATCAAAAGTATGTGTTTCTCTTTTGGCTGTGACAGTAGAAGCAGGAAGCTCAAAGTGCTACAGTAACTAACTCATCTTGGTCTGAAATACTTTCAGAAACCTTTGAAAATTATTTCATTTAACATTTGCAGTTAATTTGGTAAAACATGAAAAATAAGTGAGGTAAGCAGAGCAAGCTCCGAGGCAGAAGCAGAGATCCTGGGAAGAGGCTTCCTGAGAGCACAGACTTCAGCATGCAGTTCTCCACAGGACCCTGCCAGCATCTGAGCTGTGGGGCTCCAACTCCGGTGCCACAGTAGTCTTCCCAGTATTTTACAGGAAAAAGGATCACAGAAGCTTCATTGAGTAGCAATGGCACAGCATACAATGGCACTGAAGTTATGAAAGCAGGAAACTACCGTGTGCAGAGATTTAGAACAGAGTACAAAGACTCAAGAACCCAAAGCAGAAAATATGCAGCAACACAGTATGAGCTGGTGAGACTCTGATAGCACTAAAACAAAACAAAACAAAACAAAACAAAACAGCAGGAACATTTGCAGAGAACCAGCTTCTGGACTCCTGAAAGTGTTATGGGTGCTATAGTTTGAATGAAAAACATACACACACCTCTTCTCACGTCACCAGGTGCTAGGAAAGAAGACAACATAACCTGACAGTGAGTACGCAGCCTGTTAGCTGTACATCACTGGTCTACACACCTTGCAGACTCTACCTCTCACCTTTACGCCAGCTAGCATTCCAGTAGTGGACACACTGAAGTCAAGATAGGCGAGCGTGTCTGGGTTGGAGGGTTTGTAGATCTGGGCAGGCCGCTTCTTTGGCAAATCATCTAGAAAGTAGAAGAAAGCTATCAATCTAGCTGCATAAATTAAAAACCACAGAAGAAAATACATTTATCAAGCCAATTCGAATGCTGACCTGTGTCCAGTATGAGGGGCCACGTCCTAACATCTACAGCTGCTGCCGCCTCCCGGGACCGCAATAGCTTACAGATCAACTGTGTTGTCATCAGACAGGCAGAGCGACTCACCTGAGGACCAGAGGGCACTGAATGAATGAGTGAACACCAGAAATGAGCAAATTTATGGAGCATTCATCGCATGTGTGCCTGCTGCTTGCTCTGCACATTAAAACCATGGCAGCTTCCGAAGCAGACTGTGTTCCCCAGAGTACTGCCTTCTCCTAAGGAGCCAGGTGAGTGTAGAGACGCTGGAATCTGGTCATGGAAACACAGTCAAAGCACAGCTGTCACTGAGGTCCCCATTCCAGAGATCCCTGCCTCTGAAGCGTATACGGTATTATGATTACACTCGCAGTAAGAACACAGAAAGGCACTGCCTGTTCTGTTCTACTAAACACATCAGATTCACGCAGAAACATCATAAACACTTTCTACTGGGAGTAACTTCCGCAGAACTATTACCAAGAACACTCACTTGAAGGAGAGGACACTGATGCTCTCTCTTCTTAAAATAACTTCGGGCTTCCTCACTTTTCCAAAAGGGGAAAAATGTATGCCAATCTAAATTTTCTTAGGTACGATAAATTAATACAAACTTATATCCTAAAGAGATAAAAGAAAACTTCTAATTCCAGATGAAGGAACTTTTAAAAGTGTAATTCTTTTTGTTTCCAATTGACTGGATTCTCAGTTGGATCTGATAGGCATGCTTCTTTTGTAAGGAGTTGCGCTCTGCAGAGCAGCTTCAGTTTCGATGGGCTGTAGCAGCAGCTACCACCACATCAAACCTGTATTTCTATGCAGCACTTTACATGTGGCTTCTTCAAGTAGAGAATAAACTCCCTGCAGCTAGAGGCTATTTCCTGTTCTAATATTTTCGTTATACATACTCTTTCTCTGTCCCTCCCTCCCTCCCTCCTTCCCTCCCTCCTCCACTCCCCACTCTCCCTCAGCAAGCAGCTGCCCTACAACACTCTAGTCTGTGGTGTGCAAGCTCCGCACTCTGATCTAGACAGGTCAAGTGCCCATGCATGTCCAAGGGCCTGTTACCTCCACAATCATCTTGACAGTTGGCAGTGTCGTGGCAATGTTCTGTGGGTGTGGAGGTCGGACGGTTATTGGCACACAGCCTGCATACAGGCAACCATAAAATGCTGCAATGAGGTCTATTCCTACATAAGGAGGGAAGCAACAATCATTACTGGAAGCAATCCCATTACTTAATGATGGCTATTCCTATCAACGAAAGTTCCAGTCTGGGAAAAGGCATATGGTAAAGGGAGCAACAAACCCTTTCAGTCATCCTCTGTTCCTGTGATAAGCTTCCATGGTCTTTCTTTAGCCTGTTCTTTTAGGCATATGATATCAAAACACACATTTAATTTCTATGCCAATTCTCTAAGGAAGTATTCAACTTTATGGTGATGAATTCAGTAGTTAATATTATGGATTAAACAAACTACTACCTCAGTTAACTAATGAAACAAATGTAGAGTGTATACATTTCTGTAAATACGTTAAGCTTCTAAAGGTAGCCTAACCCCTGTGAGTGGGAGTAACTGGACACTAATGAACTCGGAATCCAGCTGGATACAGTGCATGTGCTCAGCAATAGCCTAGCAAAGCTGCTCAGTGGCTGTCACACAGACGGCAGCCTGGCACCATCCCCCCGAAGTCTGCTTCCTGCTCTCTTACCTGGTGGGTACACCAAAGCTACGTGGTCTCCATCCTGCAGGTGGCCCCTCTCCATCAGCATCACCGCAATCTTCTCAGCACGCTTGTGAAGCTGGACACACGTCAGTGAGTTCGCTATTGTGCCCTGAGTACCATAGTAACAGGTGGCTATGTAAGTCTCTTTACCATTGTAGCTTAATTGTGATACAGTTCACATATCATGTAATTCCTTTAAAATGTGCATTGGATTTTTTTTAATATAGTCATAGAGTTGCACAACCCTCATCATAACTTTACAACATCGCCTTCATTCTCTCCCACCACAGAAAGTTTTGCATTCAATAGAAACCAATCTTTTCTTCACACCTGATAAAAAGTTCAGCACCAAAAAAAGATTTTAGATATATTTTGGTCAATATGAACTATTTTAACAAATTGGCATCCAAACTAAAAAGACTGCTGTGTTTTTAAAAACCAAGGAATGTTGTGACTTAAGTATAAAAGCTAAGGGCAATACAATTTATTAGTAAATTTGCAGGACACACATATTGAAAAATAAAGGCTAATTGAAAGTGTTTATGAAGAAATGCCATATCAAACCTCAAAAAAGTAAAAGGACAAAAAGTCAAAACCAAAATAAGCAACAATAACAAAAAAAGAACACAGAAAGAGGAAAACTAATCAAATGCAATTTCATTATGCTTAAAATATATTAAAAACAAAACAGAAAACTTCTTTGGACTCAAAAGCACCTTTAAAAAAGGGTTATTAGGGAGGATCAGTAGCAAGAAAGGTACTAAAAATACCAAAACATATGTGATTCATTGTTTAAAATGGAAAAAAAAAGTATAAGTAAACTACCAGTTATAAGCCTTCAACTAACCAGAAAGCTTTTCCTGAGGACACACCTTCCAATTACATTTCCACCATTCGCAGGTGTGCAGCGATCACTGCCTAACGCTGTAAAACTACTTTTTTGTTGTTCCTAGTCTATCTTGATCAACAAGGTACATGGCCTTTCCCTAAGCAGTAGGCAGTTCTGTCCAACAGGCTATGAGCTAAACAGTGCTCATCAACAATCTGGGCTACTTCAAGCAAGCAGTTGAAAGAAGGGCACAGAGAAGCCTAATTACTATCCACAGACTCTAAGGACTGAACTTAAATGATACAGACAGTATGCATAAAGGTGAAGATTCAATGGGAACTCGAGAGGAGAAACCACATGGCATACAGAGAACACTGCACGGACCCATGTGACTAGTATCTCTCAGGCTGCAAGGCGCAAGGTCAGGAGAAACACATCAGAATTCCCATCCCAAATGACTCCTGTCAGATGTATGCATATTGAGGTGGGAGGGAATTTTCACTTGATTAGTAATTATTCTAATAATCTCTAACCCCTCATTAATAATCTCTTGGTCTTGCTGATGAGAGTGCAAAAGAGTATTTTATAATGCCTTAAGGTGCATGTGTCAGCATCCAATATGTAGCAAAAACATTCACCAAAGAACTAGTTATTAGCAAGCCCTGGGAGGCCACGGTCCTGTCTTTGATGACTCTTATGTGGAAGTGTGGAGCAGTACCAGGCTGCCTAGGAAACGGATCAGTCAGCCTTCTGACTCTTCCTGCTGATGCTCTAATTGGTTTCTTCAATGGAGGAGACGTTTAGCTTACGCATCTCAGAACTGAACCTTCCTGTCACATATACTTTTCCTAGATTATGTTTCCATAGAAGTATATTAAAGAGAAAATAGAAGCTTATATAAAGAAGAGCCAAAAAGCACAATGTGGTAAAGATAGGCTAAAGGGAAAAAGATGTATATAGTATGCACAGCTATAATCTCAGCATTTTGGAGTTTGAGGCAGGAGGATCCCAAGTTTGAGGGCAGCCTGGACAACTTAGGGAGACTCTGCCTCAAAAATAAACAATGAAAAGGGTTGTAGCTCAGTGAGAAGGCCCTGGGTTCAATCTCAAGAACTGAAAAAAGAAATGCAGGGAACCCAGTCTAGAATTTGGTTTCTTCAAGGTTATACTGGCTTCTCTGGTTATATACTCATGGAGATCACACCTGTTTAGTACATGAATCAAAATACTCCTTGTTTCAAACATTCTCTGTGTTCTCCAAAAAGAAGACAGAACACGAAGACACAGAAAACAGCTGATGGAGAGGCTAAGACCACGTCAATCCCCACACCAGCGGCTGGAAGACCCCGTTCAATTCCCCCTTCAACACTAGAGCAGAGTGGTCTTTTTTACAAAGAAAGGCAGCCTATTTCCAGCATCGTTGAAAATGGTCATCCTCATGGGTATAAGTGCCAGACCTACACACACTTCTGTTCCCACAAGGGGACCCTGCTGTTATGGAGCAATTGCTCACCACCCCACTGTCCACTGTCACTGTGTGCCTTTCTTGCCCTTTGGGTTCCATTATTTTTGTAACCCTTTTTCTTTCCATATGATCTGAGTACTCCTCACAGTTTAATGTGATTCAACTTAACCCTAATGATAAGGTTTAAATAGAGGGAGAACTCAGTAGACTATGGTATTTAGAGGCAAGGTTCTCAGCATTGATTAGGGCCCAATAAGGTTATCAGCATAGAGCCCCTATGATTATACCTTGCTGGCTTCATAAGAAGAGAGGCCACAAAAACCCATACACACATGTCCCCTCTCAGAATCCTTCCAAATTCTACCAGCAAGAAGCCCACCACCAGAAGTGGGGTCTCTATCCTGCACCTCCAGAACTGTTAGCTGATAGAAACCTCTTTTTAAATAAGGTCTTGGGAATTTCATTATACTAGTGAAAGATGAATCAATATCATCATCTACCAAATCAGCTTCCTTGTCAAGGTGACAAAAGCTATGGCTTGCCCACTTTCTTGGTTCCTGAGATTTAAGAAACCTATAAGACTCACAACTACAATGAGGAATGTGTCAGAAACCATGTTTTAATTCTGAGTTAAAAAAAATTTTCAACTAGAGGTACTTACAAAATGTGAAATTTAATTTGCATGACATCATTATACCTCTGCTAAATTTCTGGAACAATTTTCATAAAATAGTTTGCCATTTTATGAGGAAAATATAAAATGTACAGCAAAGCTTCCAGCCACCCTGTGATAACAGTACAGGGGAGTGCGACACACCCTTTGTGGAATGTAGGCTCTCAAGTCAGCACCTGGGATAATCTGAAATTAATAAAAATTATTCTCAAGTCCCTAAGAAGGTGCTATGCTGTCTGGAGATAGACCAGCTCATGGTAGGTCTTCCTGCACAGTTGGGACTATATCATTGGTGACTTTCCTGCATTGCAAGGATATGTGGAATGAACAATGCTTTTCTTAGAATTTCCCTGAGGAGAAAATGCTTATTCTGGTGGTGGTGATGGTGGTGGCAAGGAGAGACTCTAATTCCCTATCCTGATAAAACACTAATAGGGCAGGTTAGCAATGTGAACACTAATAATCTAAGTGATAGTTGGTTATACTTGTGCTTTCTTGCTCATCACCACTTGCTCTATAAGAGTATTAATATTTTATACCTCAGGAGAAACACCACTGGTTTTCAGTTACACATTTAAGTTTTCAAAATAGGAACTGCCACTCGGCCTCAGAGAATAGTCCGTATCTCCTTGTATCCTCTTCCACATTCATGGAGAAGTTGGACTTTCCACACTGAAACCCACCGAATAAAAGGTGGTTTTTCTAGGTCAAGTTATTTCACCACAGAAATTAGGTGAAATAACTTTCTTTTTCTTGCAAAAGAAAGTTATTAAGTTTTCAGGACAGAAAGGTAATTCAGGGAAATCAATTTGCAACTCTTATTCTAAAAGAAACATTTGGGTGTCAAAAGCTATGAATTTGGTACCATTTTAAAGTTTTGCATTAATCAAATATCTACTAAAATTGAATGAAGAAAAAGCTCAACAACCTACATTTTAAAATTCTAAAGAAGTGATGAAAAAAGTTTAAAAGATTTGGCTAGTATTTCTAATAAATGAACCACCCCTCTCAAAAAAAAACCTCTTCTATATATAATTTGAAAAATATAAATCTTGTATTACTATTTACATTATTATTTATAGTGAATTTATCTTCTCTGCCTACTATAACTCTTGCACAATTGATAGCTATTCACTATGTTGGCAGTGGAGGAAGGAATACCACATGCCACAAGCAGGGACCACTGCTTGTACTCTTCAGCCAAGTGATTCACCCATTCTGAAGAGTTGATGACCAAGGGGAGCTTGTGAAAAGTGGCCAGGTTCACAATCAACAGAAAGACTCTACCCAGTAGGAGGCCCTGGCCATAATGAATGGTAAGGGAGCTGGTGCCACATGCTGAATATTAATACTTTATAGATATGATAAGGAACTCTTTTTTTGGTACAGAGTCTCACTATGCAGCTCGGATTCATAGTGATCTTCCTATCTCAGCCTCCCCAGTGCTAGGATTACAGGTGTGGACCACACTTGGTTTCAGGGGCTGGCACAGCACACTTGGGGTTCTGAGGATGGCATGGCATGTGGTACCAGGGATTGAGCCCAGGTTCTTGAGCTTATCAGGCAGCTGCTTACACTGCTGAGCTATTTCCCCAGCCCAGGAACTTGTTATTAGAATGAATTTCACCTGCTTCTCCTCACTGTTTAATACTGTTTTTAGAAAACACACAATTATGTTTGTGGCTTGTGTTTCTATTGGACACTGTTGATCTTGAAAGTTGATTGAAATAGAAATCACACTGTAACAACATCAGCTACTACAGCTGAGAGTCCAGGCTGGGCACACAGATATGTGCATTTGAGGTAGCAGAGAGCAGTAAATGAATATAGATGCTTGCATCTGACCCTTTCAGAAGAGTAACAAAGGCAGTGCTGAGACCCTTCAGAGAACTCAGGATGGAACTGCCTACACATTGAAAGAGACTTACAAAATAGCAGGTCATGTCTAAAAGGAGAACGCCTCCTTGAACCTTACTCTGCACGGTAATCTAAAGCAAATTTATTCATGACTTTGATCCTTACAACCTATTCCCATCTAATTTTCTGTCATTTTTACTGAAACCCTTTTAAAGTACATGAGTCATTTCCAGTAAACATTTTCCAAAAGATGCAGTGTCTAGCTGTAGTAAATGACTGTGGTCACAGAGGCTCAAGGGCACAGGCGACGTCCACAGGGTCAGACACATTGGATGATGGTGCCTTGGCATCACTCCAGCAAACAATCTGAGGGATCGTTCCCCAACCAGACATGGTGAGAATAGAGCTTTTTTCCTTACACTGTTCATAAATGCACCTCATTCAATTTTGAATCTTTGTGTAAAGAGGGGTCTTCTACTTCTTCAGTTACATACTTGTACCTCTAGATTGTTGGGCACAAGATATTTATCTATCTTATCGATATTGGAGCAATGGACCAGGCAATATTGGGGAAGAATTTAAAAGATGATTGAAAAGCTGAGACTATGACTCAGTGGGATAGGGATTATTCAATTCAGACGACTTAATGCACATGCAAAGAATGGTCTGATCACTGGAAACTTAAAACCAGAGGATAAGGAAATTCGACCATTGGCATTTCCTTGCATTTGTCATTAATCTGCTACTTCAAATGCTAAGAAATATCTCTGCACATTAATATTTTGATAATTAGCACAAAAAAATTTCAAGAATCCATAAATACAACTATATCAAACTGAGAATCTTTTGCATATCAAAGGAAACAATAAACAAAAGGCAACCTACAGAATGGTCAAAAAATGCTGCCAGTTATTTTTCAGATGAAGGACTTATATCTAGAAAATATAAAGAGCTCCAAAAATTAGACCACCAAAAACAATACTCAACCAAAAAAATGGGCAACTGACTAAACAGGCACTTCTTAAAAGAAGACTACAAATGAGCAGTAAAAAAAAGGTTCAGTATGTATTTCCATGAGGAGATGCAAATCAAAACATTACTAACAGACCATCTTACTGTAGTGAGGGTGCCTATTGTCAAGGATTCCAAAAACAACAAATGCTGGTGAGACTGCATGGAAAAAGAAACATTTCTACATTATTGGTGAGAATGTAAACTACTAGTACAACCACTATGAACATCATTATGAAGATTCAAGAAACTAAAAATACAAATTCCATTTGGCTCAGCTGTCTGTCCCTCTTCTGGTATCTTTCCAAAAAAGTTAGAAGTCATCACATTACATGCCTCTACACATGCATACCCATGTTTATGGCAGCACAAACAGCAACAGTTAAGTTACAGAAACACTGTATAATTCAGTGATGGTGAACCTTTTAGAGCTCTCAACAATAACAAACAGCCAGCTGTAGCCTGTGCACTATAGGCTCATCACCACTAGCTTAGATGCTCATCAACCAATGAATGCATAAAGAAAATTTGGTAAATATCACAAGGGACTTTTACTTAGTCAAAGAAGGATAAATCTGAGTTGATCTCAGGAAAAATAGATCACTCATGAGACTATAATGTTAAGTGAAATAAATCAGACAGAGAAGATTAAATTCTGCATGTTTTCTCTTATATAGAAACCTGAAATAGATATAATTTAAAAAGCAAAATCAAAGCGAGATGATAGTAGGAAAGCAGCAGCATCAGATCCAAGATGGCGGCCAGCAGGAGGCTTATGAAGGAGCTTGAAGAGATCCGCAAATATGGAATGAAAATCTTCTGTAACAGCCAAATTGAAGCTAACTTATTGACGTGGCAAGGGCTTATTGTTCCTGACAACCCTCCATATGCTAAGGAGGCCTTTAGAATTAAAATCAACTTTGCAGCAAAGTATCCATTCAAACCACCGAAGATCACATTTAAAACAAAGATCTATCACCCAAACATTGATGAAAAAGGGCAAGTTTGCCTGCCAGTAATTAATGCTCAGAACTGGAAGCTAGCAACCAAGACTGACCAAGTAATCCAGTCCCTCATAGCACTGGTGAATGACCCCTAGCCTGAGCACCTGCTCCAGGTGACCTAGCTGAAGAATATTCTAAGGACTGCAAAAAAATTCTGTAAGAATGCTGAACAGTTTACAAAGAAATATGGGGAAAAGAGACCTGTTGACTAAGATCTGCCACGAATGATTCCAGCAAGCGTGAGCAGAGACCCTGAGCAGGGCACTCAGACATCTCTCACCATAGGACTCTGGAAAATTGCACGTGCCACCACCCGGAGTTCACTTGTGGCAGTTACTAACTTTCTACAGTTTTCTTAATCAAAAGTGATCTAGTAACCTGTAAAGAAAGGATTAAAAATTTCAGATATTCGAAAAAGAAAAAGAAAAAGAAAAAGCTAAATGATAAAAATAGGGAGGTAGAATTTTTGGAGGCGATGAAGGAAGCAAAGGAAGGGGGTCTGGAGAAAGGGGGAAAGTAGTAGAGAAAGGAAAAGGGAACAAAATATTGTCAAGGTAATTAATATGCATCTCAAATATACACTAATAAATAATTATGTATCCAAAACATGCATTAATAAAAAGAAAACAGGAAGATAATTAACAACTCCAAACAGTCCTTTTAAAGGAGTGGCAAGTGCTCATCTGTGTCAAGGCGACCTACATTTTAAATCTATTGTTCAAGCTTCATTAAAATAATTGACAAGCATATTAAGGCTTTTGCATTCACTTATTCTTCATATTTGCTTGCATATGTAAGGCTATATTCCTAAGTACTTACAAAATAATATTTGATGACTTTGATTTCTTATATGAGATGTAAATAAACCAATGATTTCCATTCCTGAGAATTTAATTACACACAACTTTTTATCTATAAAAATATAGCTTGAGGGGCTGGTGAGATGGCTCAGTGGTCTAAAGCACCTACTTAGAACAAGCTTAGCAAAGCACAGGGACTGCGGTTCAATCCCCAGCACCACATGCCAGCCCGCCCTGCCTCCTGGTGGGCGGAGCTGGCCACACACACACACACACAAATAAAAATAAATAAATTAATTTAAAAAAATATAGCTCGATAGTCAAAATAAAAGCTAACATTTTGTGGGCCCGCAATTGTTTTCTGTTATTGGTATCACTAATCAGTTTCTTTTGGGTGAGAAATACTGCAAACAGTGCTGCTAAAACATCCACACACATGAACAGGAACACACAGATGCATAAAACTGTTGCAATTAAAAGGAACCCTTAAGTGAAAAAGGCTTAATCAAAGTAGCAGAAAATAAATGAATAAAAGAAATTCACATAAGACTGAATGAAAGAACCAAGTCAAGGACAGAAGGAAAAAGCAAGAGCACTTCCAGGAACTAGTGAGGACCCCAAGGAAGCAACCAGGACCCACACCCGAGAGGCTCACCCGGCAGTTGAGCAGCGTGTACAGCACGTGGTCCGGGGTAGTCTGTGCTCTCCATTGCAAGACCTCAGACAGGAAGAGGAACTGCAAGGAGGCACAGGACAAGGGTCAGGCTTCACAGTCAGGACTGGATAATCTCTATATTTCAATCAAAATACACTGAATGCTTTAAAATAATGTGCACATCCACAGAGAAATTTGCTTTTAAGAATATGTTGGGGAGGGGCTGGTGAGATGGCTCAGCGGTCTAAAGCACCTACTTAGAACAAGCTAAGCTAAGCAAAGCACAGCGACCGCGGTTCAATCCCCAGCACCACATGCCAGCCAGCCCCGCCCTCTGGTGGGCTGAGCTGGACACACACACAAAATAAATAAATAAATAAATAAAAATCTTTTTTTTTTTAAAAAGAATATGTTGGGGAAAACACATAATCTGATGTCACATTGTGTGTGTGTGTGTGTGTGTGTGTGTGTGTGTGTGTGGTATGGGAGATTTGTACTTGCCAGGTGTGTGTGTGTGTGTGTGTGTGTGTGTGGTATGGGGGATTTGTACTTGCCAGGCAGGCACTTATGCCACTGAGCTACCTTCAACCTGGATAATCTACAGGAGAAAAAAATGTTTAAACTGTATCTTTTTTTTTTAACCCAGTGATTTGGAAATCACTGCATCTGATTCAGACTGTCAATTCAAAGAGCAGGTCTGTGCCCTTAGATACCAAAGTTCTTTGAATGTCCATCCAGGGGAGCAGCTGACAGCAACTTTTTCTTTTTGGAGGTACCGGAAAGGACAATGTTGATTTCTGTTGGCTGCAATGAATCAGATTTATCCTTTTTTTCTTTTTAATGAACACATTAATGTTTTTATAACAGCAATTCTTAGTGATATTAAGCGGCATTATTTTGGACAGCCCTATTTCATGTTAGGATATAGACCTTTTATTAGCCTTAGTTCCTTTTATTAAGAGAAATGTACCACATGGGTGGGCAATATGGTGGTCTAGAAGTGCTTTCTATTCACACTTGCTGCACATTAGTACAGTGGCAGTACCTTCAATGGTTGATACCACATCACCTAGCAGTCCATACAGGATGAGACCCCCTTTTGGCTACAGGAAATGGGACCTCTCTCAGTGAGCTGTCAGCACTGTCAGAGCCGAATGATTCGAGTGGGGACTTGAAGCTACACAGAACACAAAGTGTGATATTGGGTGGGAGTGCAGGAGCCTAGAAGCTCCAGAAGTCACCAGGATTTTCTCCAGAAAGGAGGTCTGGCTTCCAGATAGCAAAGTATGGATGCCTTACAGCAGGGTGCCTCTTGCGCAGTGTGGGCTTCCTATTGGAGCTGGGCAATAATTAGAAATGAAGGGTGAGGGGACACTAAGATGCGACAAGTGTTCCCAAACACTCCTACCAGCCCTGCCAGTTGTGGGGTGACGTCACTGACTCATCACTACTAATAAATAATAAATAATAAATTTTTAAAGCATCATATAAAAATAAGTACTACCTAATATTTTTCTAAGAAGATTATAGGGAACCATGTTGCCAAGACAGAAGGGAGGTAGGATACCACTAAAGATACAAAATCAACAGTAGATGGGGAACTACCACAGTGGAACATTGTAAGGACAGTCACTTTGTGACACAGCACTTCGGTCCACTCTTGAGTGGGAGGGATACAGCTTGAGCCTCAGCTCCTACCTTTCGGGCCTGGTCATTGTCTTCTATCTGACCCAGGTCTCTGCCACTAGCTTGGGCAATCCTCTTCCCAGACACCAGGTTTCCCACCATCACAGAGGCAGGGCCGATTTCTGAAAGAAAAGAGAAATAACTTTGAGGAGACAAAAATCAAATTCCTTAAAACATGGCTCTCAACTTTGGTATAGAGCTTATTCTAGGAAAATCCTTTGAAAGATTAGGCTTTCAATAAATCTCATTGAAACAGGTTTTAAGGAAATCACTAAAATGCTAACAAAGACAAATATAAACATGCTGATAGAGGTTATACAGAAAGGACGCTCCCATTATACACAAAACCCTGCAGTGCCCCTTCAAGTCTGCTGCCCTAACTGTCTAATGAGTGTGAATCCCAGGGGCACTGAGATACATCCATAGAAGGGCTTATAAAGAATGATATAAAAGACAAGTAAAGAATTTGAAAGCATGATGTATATCAATGCTAAGAGGTCGACTTCTGTAATTCTTTTGTTCTTCAGTGTTTTTACGTAAGAGCTGACCAAAGACAATCCAAATATTATATGTTTGAAATAACTACTACTTGAGATAAATTTAGAGAATAAAGAAATGGGATATAGAACTAGTTACCCATGTATTTCATTGACCATTAAAGGATTTACGTTCTCTCAGGCCCACAGCCAGATGTGGAAGATGTACTAAAAGGCTACTGCAAAATCAAAATTCTATTTTACTCCACTGTTGACTACTCAACTCCCAATGCACTTTTCCAGTTTCTCAGAACAGTCTGCAGGAGCCTTAATGCTGGAGTCTGGGTAATCATGGCTATGCCTTATATACACAGCTGAATCAGTTTTGAATTTTCCCACGTGGTATTTGTGGGCAGACTGTCTTTTCTTAGTTCTTAATCAAGTAACTATGAAAAAATAATGGAGTTTTCACATTTAACAAAACCGAAAAGAAAATTTACTAACAGTCTGCATGCTGGGGTGAAAGGGGATACCCTGCAACAGAAGCAGGGGCACTAATGCTTCTTCAGGGTACTTAAATAGCCTGGGAATGTGCATTCTGCTTTTTTATCTGGGCCTTTCCTATTTTTAGGATCTTTTTTTTCTTTCTTTCTTTTTGATAATTTATCTTATTCTTCTTGGTCATTGAGAGCTGGTGACCACTGAGAAGATTCCTCTGAGAAGCCAATTTGGAAACTGACCTACACTGGTTTACAGCCTTCTCTATGAATTTTTTTTAAAAAACTCAACATAAGAAAGGAAAGCAAATATTTGCAGTTTTTCCAGCAGTTGACTTGGTACTTTGTCACTCTGCTTCTTTGTTAATGTTCTCTTACTAAGGTGAAATTCTGGTGGCATTCTCTGAAAGTCAAGTTTGGGACTTTATGCCTATTTTTCCCAATGTGGATCTTGACTGTTGCTGAATCTCATTTATGGACCTCTTTCTTACTTAGAATCAATGATCTCTCTCCCCACTGAAATGAGGTAGGCACATAGGAAATGCCTTTAAAGAAAATATTCTTATAGTCAATCACAGCCACTCACTTTGAAAGTATAAACTGAGATTTACCCTAAAGTATGTATGTGAGATTCACATTTATCCTTTTCCTATTCCCATTTAGACGTTTACATATCTGCAAGCTAGCAATTTTATCTCTAGTATTAATGAATTCCTAACACACAATGAGTAACAAGTTCCCGCAGGGGACAAGGGCAGAGTTTCATCTGAGAGAGCAGCAAAACAACTTGGAAGGAGAAGTAGCACTTTCTCTTGAGCAGTGCCTCACACTGCCTTCTAGCAAGCCTGACAAGGCTCCTGGGGAACCTGTAGCTGCAGAGCGGTGTCTCTTCTATAACGTCCGTTAACATTGCTGCGGACTCATTGGACGCGTGCTGAGGGCCTACCATGCTTTCGTGCTCAGTTTCCCAACCTCACACACACCCTGTTGTTATAATAAACAAGAATTCACCCAGAAGAAAGGCAACTTAGGGTTACAAATCTTTCAAATCTTAATGGGCTCTATTTTATGCATCCATCAAAATCCTTAGGCATAAATGTCCTCAATAAAGGTTTGTTTTGGCTGCCAATATGACCTGGTCAGAGTCCTTATGAACGTTTATCCAAAGAAGCCTTAGAAGTACCCTAGTCCCACTTCTGCAGCAGCGCTTGTAAGGACAGGTGGCTTGAGGCAATCCTCTAAAGCCTTTTACAGCCCATCCTCAGAGCTACGGAAACTCAGACAATGCACAGGTCTTCAGTTCAGCTTCCATGGAGTGTTAGTTTTAAAAGGTAATAAGGAAAAGGTAAAAATGAAGCAAATCAGTATTTTGGGGGGCTGGGGATGTAGCTCAGGGGTGGGACACAAGTTGTGAGAAGCTCTGAGGGGTTCAATCTTCAGCATTAAAAAACACTTTAGTGGACAGAATTGTATTGCCTTATTCTAACAACAAAGCACACCACCTATTTATATATAATATAAACAATACATATCATATATTTCTTCATTTTTTAAGAAGGTAGCAGTCACTTAAAGCTTTATGTAATTAACCAGAGTACTGGAGCAAAGAGTTTCCAGATCTGCTGGATCATCCTTTCCCACCCTATTCTTCCCACGCAAGGCTTTCCTTGGGTGCCCTGACATCTGCTGTTGCAGCCCTGGCCAGAGTGTGAGTGGCCTCAACTTTAGCTCATGGATCAGTTCTTTCTGGTTACTCAGTTTCTTGACAATGGGCAAATGAGGTAAAATTACAGCTATGAAATCACATCAACTATGTGCAAATGATACTCCCTACAACAAAATTTAGACATAGTCAGAGACGACCACAGGGACAAAGAACAAACACTCTCAGGCCTTTAACCTATTACAACTTTAAATAATAACCTGTATTTTCTTCTGAGTCAGTCAGAAATTTGAGTTGTTTTATTAAAATCTGTGATTCTTCACTTGAGCCCATAGGTGCCCAGTAGGTAACTAACAGTAGGACAAATCTTGACATTCACTTTTGTATCTTTTTATACTTTAAAATTATATAGGTATGTTACTCATTCAAGAAAAGTTAGCAGAACAATGGTGAACAACCCTAACTTTACCCTCATCTAACTCATCACCCTCTCAACATGGAAGACATTCAGAGTAACTGAAGTAATTATTAGGATTCAGAAGTACATCTGATTATGAGCTTTTATGAGATCCAGTTCCAAGAATCTACCCCAACTCCTTAGAATAGGGCCTCAAAATATTTAGCCCTTTCCTTGAACCAGCAGTTACCTGGAGTCCCAGGAAAAACAGCCCCACTGCCTGAAAGCACCATAAAACAACAACCATCTAATAAGAACAAAACTGTCACCAAGTCATGAAGAGCCCTCCAGAGCCACAAACTAGAACAGAGGTAAAGACTGACTGGACCTAGTCTACCACAGGCCCTGTAAAACTGGTCTCTATTCTATTGTGATTATGCTGGTCTGACTCCCTTCATTAGAATGAACTCTACCAGCTGTTCAGGCTGTAGGCCTCTTTTCTCTCTCTCTCTCTCTCTCTCTCTCTCTCTCTCTCTCTC